AAAGGTATTAAGTTCCTGAATTTCCTCACTTTGAATCAAAGCTTTAAAGTTTCACCTCCATTCATTTGGAGATGTGAGGTCCACTTTCCCCCAAATCCAGTAAATTAGAAGAGTTGCGCTCCTTCTGATGTGTTTATTGTTTTTGAATTCTTTCAAATAAAGTTATCAGTCCTAAATATTAAGGCAAGCAGTTACCGAGGCTGAATATACAATTTTCTCACTTTCTCCTTCCAAACAGGCCAACTTGTTTTTGTGCTTTCAAAATACGAAGAGGTGTTGTTACTCAGGTAATAAAGAGCTGATTGTGATGGGCCCTGATTGTGCACCCTCCCTCCACTGTACGTGACTGTGGAGAGGGCAACACTAAGATACCCTTCATGCCTCCCAGATTCAGCTCCATGGCAGACGTTTCACAGGAGGAACCGTGTGTGGGAGGACTTCGGAATTTCAAGCAGGACCAGGGAATGGACTACTATGGATAAAAATACAGAAGAGCAGCAGCAGGGACCAAGACCTTTTTCTGTGCCTAAGCACCAGCAGAGGCGATTTGGACACCTGTATGCTACCATTCTTGGACAATTCTAAACCATAGGGATTATTGTTTCCATTTCTTGGGTGGGAAAATGGAATATAGAGGCTACGTGTACAAAGTCAATGACAAAACTAGATACAAATCCATTTCTGTCTGTTGAGCAAATATGCATTATTTTCGATCTTACTCCAAGATAGTATTGAGTTCCTTTTGTGGGATTTTAAAAAGGCATTAATGTAGGGTTTATTCCAGCAGTTTATTCCAGCAGGTGAGGGGGTACAAAATATTTTGGCAGTTATACCTCAGAATAGCATGGTGTAGTCTTGATTTAGGTTCTAGATAGGACACAACCCAGTCAGTGTTTATGGATGTGCCCTCTATGGGAGAAACAAATGAAAAATTTATCTCATTCAGCAGATACAAAGTTTAAAATAATCCCATTAAGGTGTTTATATATAGCATGTATATTTAAAAAACATACTACAATTGAATATAGATTAAAGAAAGTTATTTTTAGAAAATTAATCATTCATGGTATTTTTATTAATTTGGGGGCACTTCTGTTTGGGAAAAGGTAACTCGAGAGTGCAGTGTTAGAAACACAACCCATTCAAATAGATCTTTTCCCACACTTGGAGACCATATCACCCATTCCTGTATCACATTACAGAAAGATTAATCCCAGTGCTGTACATTTTAAACACAGTTGAAAAACAGCAGAGGAAAAAAGGTCATTCAACCATGGGAATTCAAAAGCAAAGGACACTTAAGAGGTTCTTTTAAAACCTACTCATTCAACTCCCCCAAAGCTCACTGACATGCCTTCTTTGACTGTTAGGGAAATTGTTTCATTAAAAACTTAATGTGAGCCGGGCATGGTGGTGCACGCCTGTAATCCCAGCACTCGGGAGGCTGAGACAGGAGGATTGCTCTGAGTTCAAGACCAGCCTGGGCTACATAGTGAGTTCCAGGTCAGTCTCAGCTACATAGTGAGACCCTGTCTCAAAAAACCAAAACAAACAAACAAAACAAAACAACAACAAAAAAACTTAATGTGAGTCCTGGAATTGCAATTTGTATTTATAGGTTGGCACCTTTGATCAAGGTCTTGAGTTAATTCTTGTGTATTGTTATAAAAATAGAATTAGCAAAATGGTAAATGGTGTGTTAATACTGTGTAATATATTGTTGTATATTGAGAACTTTCTAGGGGCAGTGCTTTGTATATTTTATATTCATTGTATTTCATTTGGCCTCGTCCCTTGAGGTACCCAATATCCATTTTATGTGATGAAAATGAGTCTCTGAGAGATGAAGTAAGTCGCCGCTGTTCACACAAGTGGCAAAGACATGAATCAAACCCAGGCCCCTCCCTCTACTGGCTGAGCTCTTCATTATTCAGCCCTGTGGATCAGAGATGGAGCCTGATCCCAGTCCTTCAGTTTGCTTTCATTCTTACTGCATTTCTGAGGACAGTGCAGCAACCTCAGACAAGGTTCTTGATTCCACCCGGGTTACAGGATAAGTGAGGTAGACCTGCTGTCTGGTTCCACCGGAACTGGGGTACTAGCATTGACTGGGCATGGGGCAGAGGACTCTCCCCTCGAGTTCCTCTACCTCTCCATTGGCAGGGTAGCTGAGGAGAGGGTCTAGGTGGCCTTCACTTCCCCCTAACAAAATAAGAAGGGCCTAGAAAAGTTCAGAAAACTGAGGTGAGCCAAATGGTTTCTTTCCCGTCTGCATGGGCAGAGACACCCGAATTCACTCTTCTAGGACAGCAGCCATTTATTCCCAAAGATGACACAACTTAATTGGATGGAATAAGATTAAGCCAATATCTAAAAACAAGAGTGTACATTATCCAAAAGTCCCTAGAAAATAACAAAAGGTTGGACTTCTGTCTCACAGAATTTTATACTTTTAATGTCAACTCCATGGCTCTGCTCATTTTTCCCAGCTCACAGTTGCATTTTTGATAGAAGATGTGATTACTCAAAAAAAGTATGACCACACATATGGATGGGAACTTGCTCTCCAGTTGAGTTAAACGATGTCTCTCAAACACTACCAAATTCTGTACAGCTATATGCTTTACTCCTAAAGCTCCAATAACAGTTGGAGGAAATTTTGTCGCGACTCAGAATGTCTCACAGTCCTATGAAAGGGAATGGAGGGGCGTAACTGCGGTATTTCTAATTATGGGATAGTTACTATCATGTCCCTGAGTACCTTCTTGGTACATGAAACTCAGTTTTCCCAACTAAACTTACGGTTTTCCTGTACAAACTTGTTTTTCCTTTCAGTGCTCAGTTCCAATTCATGACATTCCAGTCACAGGGTTATTTAATGTGGCATCATCAGTTATCTTTACCTTCCCTTTGCTTCTCCCCAACCCTGAACAATGTGACATTTCTTTCCAAAATTTCTCTCCACCACCCTTTCCCGTCAACACTCACTTCTTTGCAAAATGAAGACCAAGGTCATTTCTTATCACGACTTGCAAACCTTTTATTGACCTCCAGTTCCCTCCAGACTTCGTTCTCTCCTATCCTCTTCCCTAGTATCAGAGTCAGATTAGTAAGACGCAGATCTGCCTGGGTCATGCTACTCTTTAAGCATCTTCCATGGCTACACAATGACTGCAGGACCGAGACTGAATTTTGGGTTGCACTCAAACGTCTTGACAAGATTCGTTTCTTTCATAGTTCTATTTCTCACCAACTCTTTAAATCCTTTCTCAATTCAAACATACACATCCGTGGACAATGTGTTATTTTTGTTTACTCTGGGTTTCTTACTGTTTCCCTAAATTCTAAGGAATTTAATGTCCCCTTGTTGTATTTTCATTCAAATAGTCCATTCCAAATGGAATTTTCTGTTTAAAATACTTGAACACCCTTTCACTCATCCTTCAAAGAACAATCACCCGCTTCATTGCAGACCTCCTCAGCCTGCACCTCAGTACAATTATTTATTTATTTATTTTGTGTTTTTGAGACAGGGTCTCACTATGTATTTGAGACTGACCTGGAACTCACTATGTATCCCAGGCTGGTCTTGAAGTCACAGCGATCCTCCTGCTTCAGCCTCCCGAGTGCTGGGATTACAGGCGTGTGCCACTATGCCGGGCTCAAAACAATTATTTAGACATCACAACACATGATGTGTTATTTGTATATGTGCTTGTGTGTGTCTCTCCCTTTCATCCTACGCCCCAAATCTGAATTCTAGATTCCAAGCTTTGGTCTCTCTTTGCATGTTTTATTTCCTAGCACATAGGAAATTGATAATAAGTAGTGTTGAGTGAGCAAACTGATGAGCATTTAATCAAGGCTCTTAGAGAACAGACCCAAGATAACTTTATGAAGACATTAGTTTATTATCGTAACAATAAAATGCTTTGAACAAAAGCATAAAGAACAAAAAAGACTAAGGATAGCAAAGATGTTTAAACTTTCTGTGATGTTCAAAGGTTTTATTGGTAATAGTAAATTGTTCTGGTAACAAGCACAGATAGAGAAAGCGGAAGTGCTGTGAATCACACTGGAATCCACATTAAACAAGCTATTTTGCTGTATAAAACATCTTTGAAAATTAGAGTGAGCAAGCAACCTACTTTCCGGTCCCTTTTCTATCTCCCTTAGACAGAAGCTTTCTTTCCCTCAATAAATTTTTCCTACCCTAAAAAAACAAAACAAAACAAAACAAACAAACAAAACAACCCCAGAACATTAAACAAGCCATTCTAAACTAGAAGCACCCAGCAGAACCCAGCATCAGCTCCTCTCCTTTCTGTTTTTTGGGTGTTTGGTTCATCAGTGAGCTCACAACTTACTGTGTTGACAAGCCTTGGATTATCACATCAAATCCTGATCAAAGGGACCACTGTGGAAATGGCCTTGGTGGCCAGCACATTGTGTCAGCTCTGCCTTTCCAGGGGTCTTTCCCACAAGACCCAAGTTATTTAATTTGCTTTCTTTCTCAAATTAAACAAACAAACAAACAAACAAGAAACAAAACAACTTTTCTGCTGTCCTGTCCTCTCCTCTCCTCTCCTATCTCTCTCTCCTCTCTTGTTTTCTTCCTTTTTTCATATGTTCAAAATTAGAACATTGGGCAAGAAAGGGAATAGTGCCTTTGTATAAACTTAGAATGATTGAACATATAAAGGATTCCTCTTTTGCCCTTGCTTCCACACGAACAATCCCAGTCCCTGAGATTATGACCCTGAATAAATGCAGTAGATTCTCACAGCACGTTTGCAGCCTGCACTTCTTCGATGCTGGACATATGGTCATCGTGCAGGATTTGGCAACAGGAGTATGCAGCTTTCCCTCAGTGCCTTGGTCGTTTTCCAGAACTGAGCAGCACCGGCTTGCCGTGCTGGGTCTGCTTCCAGGGTAGTCCTATTGTCCGAGAATTTAGCTTTGCTGTAGAATTCACACCACACTGACTTCCCTCCTTTCAGTTGGCAGGTGACGTGACCTCGGACATTTTCACCGCCATTGCTTCAGTGACGTCAGTCTTGCTGCTCATCCTCTTGCTGGCTGTGGTCGCTTCTGTTGTCGGCTCCAACAAGAGGGCAACTCAGGGAACCTACAACCCAAGCCTTCAGGAAAAAGAGGGTGCTATAATGGAAATGCAGAGAGGGATGCCGCCCCCCGCGATGGAGTGGCTGATCTAGGGGCACTGCTGCCTCTCTGAGAAGGGGACCTACGCACAGTGAACATATATTGTAGAGGAGGGGTTTTGTGACATGCCGAGTAGATGTCAACTTACACCTGGGATTACACTGGAACTGGGAGAAAGATTTCTTTCACCACTTTAAAGGTTTTCATGCCTCTGGGCCGTTCACTGCAGCTTTCCAATTAGCAAATACATCTTCCAGAGAATAGCATCTTTAGAAAAAAATCTTCAGTGACTGTTACTTAAGCTCTTTACTCTTTGCAACCTGGAAACAACAATTTAGTTTGCCCTCTAGCAGGCAAACTTGATTTATTTTTAAAGCACGCATACTATGGGGGTGGTAGTAGTGGGGGTACACTTTTCACTCCTTTGATCATGTGGTGAGAGATTTTAGTCATGTGCTGGTGATGAGACGTATACTCTGTCTTTCAATCACAGATTCAAAGAAAGTTATGGGAATGAGTCTTGGTTTAAAAAGTGACCCAACACGACAAAAACTGAAATATCGTTTTTGCCCCCCTTTCTTTTTGCATTTGGTGACATTGTAAGTGACAAAAATAGCTTCAGAGCATGAACTTCCTTTTGAATTGTATCATTTCACTGAAGCATCTCGAGCTGATTATATTATCATTAATCTTTATAAAGTGTGCTGCTTAAAGCTGAAACACTTTCTTCACAAAAATCACAATAGGAAGAAAATTCAGATTCTCAAGTGTGAAAGATCAAGGTCTTTTCTTTCAACTGATTTTGATAAATCAGTGTCCAACAGTGACCTTACCTAAACTCAAGCCTCCCAAAGAGAGATGAACACGCATTAGGGTTTGTGTGCAAGATGATAGGGTATGAAGAAGAAATACTGGGTCTTCTACTCACATTTTCTATACAGTATTTGTTGCACTTACATATGTTTTGAAATAGGTATAGCAAGGCACTGTAGCATAATACAAATAAAATAGGAATGCATGCATATATTTTTGGCTATATGCTCAAAAATTTTAATAATATGAGTTCCTATATCTGGTCTAGAAAATCCATCCTTTCTGATTACTAAAGGGCAGCATTGTAGCTGTCACCTCTCCCTCTCTTACACTTCATCAGTTTTCCCACTGTACTGGGCCATTCACATTAGCACCAAACACAAAGCCACACTTCCTTTCCTACAGAATTCTTCCTTGAGCTGCCTCTTCTCCCATATGCCCGCCCACTTCCAACCTTCCTCTTCAGGAAAGTATCTACGACAGAGTTCTCCACATTCCTTCCTCCCTCTTTCTCTCTCCTCATCCTCTCTTTAACTAATTCGCCTTCTCTTTCCACCACTCAGGGACTTCCCACCTTGACAGACGCAATGGCCAGTCTTCAGTCCTCAGTTTCCCTGTAATTTCAGAAGAGTTTGAAATAATTGTCCTCTCAGTCTCTTTGACTAGGTTTTTCTCATCTTTCCAGAACTCGACTTCATTTTTCTCTGTAGTGTCTGCTACCAATTGAGACTCTGTTTCCCCTGTCTAGAATGTAAGTTACATAAGGGAGAGAACTTCACAGGAAAAGGAATAATGCAACTAGCTGAGGTTTTAGCTGGGTGTGGTGGTGCACGCCTGTAGTTCTAGCACTTGGGAGGCTGAGGCAGTAGGATCACTGAGTTTTAAAAATAGTTGGCACTGTTGGTATTAACACAGGAAGAAAGAGGTCATTCCAATGATAATACCATAAAATTTAGAAAAGGTGTTTTATGAATGCTCCTTACCTAGATCTAATCCTTAGTGAAAACCCAATGAAATTTCCTGCATGAATGAACAAATGAGGAGGGAATGTTGTTCCAGTTCGTACCTGCCACAGCAGAGCCGCAGTGTACCCTCAGTGTTCTATAAGACGCTCTGGCTGCTTAAGCATTGTGGCTTTTCTAGTAGCCTTTCTAATGCATCCATCTCTCAATATGTAACGCCACATTCAGTGTAATTTGAAGAAGACAGATGTCTCTGGCTGTTTAAAAGTGTGCCTTGAAACATACTTACTTCTGAATCTCATTAGAGTTATAACTTCTCAACAGAAGCTTAAGTGGAAAGGGCAAAAAGACCTCTTACTTAAAGAAAAAAGTACAGGTAGTTAAGTTTTTAAAAAAATACAAAGAAGGGGTGGGGATGTAGCTCAGAGACACTGCACCTGCCTGGCAAGTACAAAGTCCTGAGTTTGATCCCCGGTACCAGAACAAACAAATAAACAAAATACAAAGAAAAAAATTACAGGATGTAAGTTTGCCCTATTAGAATTAACACCGGAAGAAAGAGGTAATTCCAATGGTAATACCGTAAAGGTTAATAAGATGTTTAATTAATCTGGCTATTAACCCTTCTCTAGTACCTAGTCTATGCCTCTGCATAGGAGTAAATGTACTTATCTATGGATAGTGAATTTGTGGGTTGTGAATAATTGAGTGATTCCATGTGGCTACTTCAAACACAGGATTCTCTACTGAGCCGCAATTTGAATCTTTGAACAAGAAAACATCCAGTATCTTTATGCTAGAAACGTTTCCAAGTTATCCCTCTGGAGGGCTGCCCTGAGAGATCTTTAACAGGTGCACCTCACTTTAAGTAGGACAGTCTGGCATCTTCATCACAAATGGCGCAACTTTTGGATCGTGTGTATTCTGCAGTTCATGTTAGCATTGGTTGTGAAGATGAACACAGCAGTTCTTCCTGGATCGTGTGCAAAGTAATGTCGACCCTCTCTTTGGGAGGTGGAGTCTGCTGCCTTCCTCTCTGAGCTAGGGCTGGCCTGGTGACACAACCTTCAGATCAGGCCCTGAAGGTTTGCAGCTCATTCACCCTCTCTTGGAAGGCAGCCTTGGAACTGCCACCTTTGAGGAAGCCTGGGTGAGAATAGCACGTGGAGAAAGAGGCCTGGCCATGCCTGCCCCGCGGAGCCTGGTGTTGGACGCAGGCATAGTGACCCACTGGAGACGGGAAATGGAATTCCCAATTAATACACAGACTCTTGCGAAATAATAAATCATTGTTGTACGCTGCTAAGGGTTACAGTGGTTTGTTATATAGTTATAGGGAATGGAGAGACGACCATTCACTCGCATGGGCAACCAAAGACAACATAAGTAGTCCCTGACTCAATTTTCTTATTATTCAGTGTTCATCTTTGTATTAACAATAATTAGTACACTGTTAATAAAATATCACAAATACATGCCTGATTTCTCTCTGGAACTATTCAGTTCAAACCTGGGTGTGGTTGGTGCTGAGGATGCCCCTAGCACAGGTGCCTGCGGTCTCTGGGGTCCGGTGTCAAGTGGACACAGCTGGCCTGTGTCCTGCCCTCGGGAGAACTGGCCCAGAGCAGCCCGTGAGAAAGACACATCCGGTGCACAGTGGAAGCAGTGACAGAAAAGCCTCCTTCTCGTCGCCTCACACGTGGTTTCCGTGGTCACAACAAGCGCAGAGGGAATCAGGAAATGGCAAAGGACTGTAATTTAAATCAACTGTCCACCCGGCCTCTTTTTTTACTCCTTCACACACCCTGCTGTTTAACAGATCCTCTTATCTCTGAGGTGGAGATGGGGATGTTCCCAGAGTCTGGCCCTGCGTTGCCAGAATTATTATTATGACAAATTAGCGTCAGAGGTGGTAAAGAGTGGCCATGGTGTACAGAGGTAGAACCGGAAGACAGTGTAATGTGTACTAGAATGAAATGAAGGATCCTTTACAGAGATCTGGCTACAGTGCTAGGGTGTATCAACAAATCTGTGACACTTCAAATGTCATCTCCTTTAAACCCCTAACAGCCCTCTGAAAGAGGACCTTGTGATCATTTGAGGAGCCTTTAAAGACAAAAAGGCTTAAATTTCTGATCTGCTCCATTCAAGGGGACCTGAGCTTATATGAAAAGTGGTAGCCACACCTCTATATCACAGGCGCATTTTGATAATCATTTGTTTAAATTGCTCAATTGCAAGTAAGCACACACTATATGGCACCTATTATTTCTTTTGCCCTGGTACTGAGGATCGAACTCAGGACATTGCACTTGCCAGGCAGGAGAGGCGCCACTGCCCATCCCTGGCCCTACAGTACCTATTCTTATTGTTCAGCTAAAGTTGGAGTGCTGTAGAACAAGTGAGAAGCACTGGTAACATTTTAATTGTTTCCACGCTCTTTTTCTCTTAATCTCCGTTCCCTGCATGTTATTATGGGTCTGCTAAATAAGCAGGTTTTATACAGAGCAATTTTTTTTTAAATGTCATCCCTTACCTTCAGATTGTCCTCCTGGTGGCAGTCCCACCAATTAAAGTGCTTTACCTGTAAAACGGAAATAAAATACACACACCACTTCCATGTTCTCAATAAAATCACCAGAAGATAAATTGAAAGGTCTCAGGTTTCTCGATAATAATGATAGAGAAGTTTTTTAAAGTTTCACTTTACAGAAGATTTTCTCTTTCTCCTTCTCTTCCTCCTTCTCTTTTTATTGCTTTTGTTTTTGTTATTTGGTCTTGCCTTTTAGGATTACTCATTAAACCTTTTTGATCAGGAATCAAAATCATGTGTTATCATCATCAGCAAGAAAGGTAGGCTCATATATCTTGGTTTAAATTATCCTTCTGATGATGATTAGCTAGCCATTTTCACCTAGTTTTATGCTCTGTAGGAATGTGATTCAAACCATAAAGTTGTCCTTAATTCTGGAGTGAATATGACTTTCCAAATTTCAACCTACTTCCAGCAAATGTGAAATTTTTACTGCTTTGCATTGCATTGAACAGTGATGACAAAAATACATGTTTCCAATTTAAACTCATGCTTCTGTGATTTGGTATCCAGCCTTTGTTGCTTCATGTGGTTCCCAAAACCTGGGAACAACATCTATTAAATGTATTTGGCAGTGACTGCTTGAGGACAGCTGCCTTAAGAACCGGCACAGGTTTCTCATATTTGGGCAATAATCTTGCTTTGAAAATTGCTCCCAAATCCTCATGTTCCAGCTCTAAATGGAGCAAGTTTTGGAGGTGTTCATGGTTTGCAGCTTGGGGCTTTTGTTTTGAAACTGGAGGTTATTCCTGGCTGAAATAAGGCAAACCC